ACAAATATTAAATTTTTTTGTTCTTAAGAAAATTAAATCAAAAAGGAAGAAAATACTATTAAAAGTTAATTATTTAAAAAATACTTTTTATTTTTACAACATTATTAAAAGTAACTAAATTAAAGAAGACAACAAAATACAATCAAAAATTAAGGGTAAATGAGACCTTTAAATTAAAGTTAAATAAAAAAATATTCTCTTTAAAACGATTACATCTGAAAAATAAATAAAATAACTCTGAAGATCAAATGAAATTAACAAAATATTTTTCTTTTTTGAAAATTAAAATCTAAAGATAAAAAGAAAATTAAACTTAAAAACGAAAAAAAAAATATTAGTTCAAAAAGCAAAATTAAGTAAGTTCCGAAAATTAAAAGAAATTTAAAAAAATATGTAACAGGGCAATTCTGGCAGGGCAATTTTATTAATAAAATTTTAAGATCTTATTGATTTATAAAAAAAAAAAACATTGTGTCTTAATTTAATTTAATTTTTATAAACATAATTTTTCTTCTTTTTTATAAAATATAATCTGTGTTCTTTTTTAAATTAAATTTTCTTTTAATTTATAGATTTTGTTTTAAAAAGCAAAATACTTTTTTAAAATCATTTAATATATACGAACTTATTAATTTTTCTGTTTCTTTAATTTTAAATTTTCTTTTAATATTGAGATTATATTATTTGAAAAAGGAAAAATATATTTTTTTAATTTCATTTTTTAGGAACCTATTTTATTTTTTTTATTTGTATTTTTTTTGCTTTTAATTTTATTTTAATTTATTTTATTCGTTTTTTTTTTATTCAAATTTCCTTCAGTTTTAAATTCTTAATCTTTTAAAAAGAAAAATATATGTAAATTTTTTTTAATTTCCTTTAATTTTTAGAAAACCTATTACTAAAAGATAATCAGACAAAAGGTCTCACTCCCTCGTTGGCAGATCTGTCAGTTAGTATGTATTTCGAAAGACAGAACGAGCTTTCAAGATAGTTGCTAAAATTGACAATTGCCTGTCGAAATACTGTGGTGAGCAAAAAGACAGTTGCCAGAACTGCTCTGCAAAGGTCATTAGGAGAGCTTGTGTAATCACCATTTTCTGCAAGGCAGTGTAGTCACGGCATTAATCCATTGTAGATGCAACCCTGATTTTTGCACTGTGACAAATAAAGGTCGTGTCAGATGGGGCAATATTTGCAACTTTTGTACGCATTTCGCTATCGAATTGAGAAAGCGAAATTTTATTTCGGCGTATGATCAGCCAGAAATTTATCACCGAAAAGTGTGAAAGGCCAAAGAGCGTATTCATAAAATTTTCCGACAATTCGGTTTTCGGTTTGCAAGGTGTGACCGCTCATGTAATTGCTTTTTTAAAATATCTCAATTTGGTAGCCTTTTCGAAATATTTTTGTCTTGCCACGTCTAACAGCACTTTATGAAAAACAAAGCTACCTGGCAAAAAAATAAAAAATGGAGAAAACTGTCAAAAATTTTACAAAAACGTGTAATGCGGAAGCGTCTGGGTTTATAATAGGTTTTTTTATTATTTTAATTGCTTGAAAATCGCGTATAGTAAATAATTTATACATCAGAAAGCGGCAGCGTCTATTTAGTCACAAAAGAAAATATGGGATCCTCAAAAAAACACAAGAAACACAAATCTGAACGACGGGAAAAATATGAAGGTTTACATTATTTTTAAAGTCTTATTTTTATCCTTTTCCGTGATTAAACCCATATTTATTACAGAGTATAGCAATAATATGGACCCTTCGCAGCTGCAGCGCGGCTTGAAACTAATTTTGAAAGTAGGCTCCAATTCCACACCTGAATACAGCAGTGGTTCACCGCTTGCGGGTCCACCTACTGCAGCAGAGGCAATGATGTCTGCTGCGCCAAGTAGTCCTGTAGCTGATGACCTTCCACCAGCGGAAGAGTATTATGGTGAAAAGCATAAAAAATCTAAGAAGAAGAAGAAAAAGAAGGATCGTGAAAAGAAACATAAACACCATAAGGAAAAACGTCACCGCAGCGAGCGTCATGAGCAGACTAGTGGTGGCGAAAGACGCGATGCTTCTGTCGAAGTGCCAAACGAAGATATTAAGCTGGAAGATATACCACCGGCTACGATTTCGACAGTACAACGCAGCCCGAGAAATGTGGCGCCTCCACCTGTAATAGATGGTGATTCCAGCCAAGATGGTTTCAGCTTTATGGAAGATGGCGATTCACAGCCATTACCGGAGAATATACTGCTGTATGCTGGCATAACCACAGATAATTCGCCATCTTGTCGTCCGGTCTCAAAGCCCATTGTACCACGAAAAACTGACGATATGCTACTAGATTCACCGGCATCATCATCGTTACAATCTTCATCTTTGGGTGTGGGTGCTTTAGGAGTTAGTAGTCCAACCAAACCTTTGCCTGATGTAAGTGCTACAAATTATTTCGGTTGTGCTATTGAATGTATTTTTTAATTATCGCTTTTTGTAGCTTCTCATTCCGTCGCCATCAGCTTCGACTGCAGCTTCCACACCGGGTGGCACAAGTTCTTTAGCAGCACTTACACCGAAACAATTAGAGGCACCAAAAACGCCAAGTTCATCAAGCGAATCTGGCCGTGAACCTCGCACTTGTGTACTTAAGCTTAAACAACAAAAATCGCCTCTGAATAAGTTATTAGATCATTTACTACGTTTTTTGGAAAAAAGAGATCCCCACCAATTCTTTGCTTGGCCTGTCACCGATGATATTGCTCCCGGCTATTCGTCAATAATTACTAAGCCTATGGATTTCTCAACAATACGTCAAAAAATAGATGATGGCGAGTACGGTACTCTGACAGAATTTACCGACGATTTTAAATTGATGTGCGAGAATGCTATCCGTTATAACCATGTTGATACTGTTTATCATAAAGCCGCCAAACGGCTACTACAAGTGGGCAGCAAGCATCTCTTGCCTGAAAATCTTTTGCGTAGCCTGAAACCGTTATCCGGCTACTTGCGTGATTTGACTGCTAAAGAACTTGGTTTTGATTTACATGGGGATTTTGGTAATTATGACCATCATGGCACAATTGACTCAGCAGATGAAGGTGCTTCCACCGGTGCAGAGGAACAAACTCCAGCGCAGTTGGAAGAGGAAGAGAAGAGACGTGCCATTCGTTTAGAGAATGAACCGAAGACCCGCTTTGAACCATATGTGGATGATCTCACCTCAGAAGAGATATTAGCGCAAGTGCAAGGCGCAGCACGGGCTGCTAAGAAGCGGTTGTCGGCAAAAGAAAGGGCACATAAGATGGGTTTCCTGCGGCAGAAAAAAGATGGGACGACCTCTTTGAACGTGCTACTTAAAGAAGAGAATGAAGGGCCAGAAAAAGTGGTTAGTCTTGGCGAGTTGGTAGGTAAATTGGAATCAGGATCTGGACAACTATATTACTCGCATGAGGACAAACGAAACGAAGCAAAAATGGTGAAGCCACTTAATTATGGTGCTTTTGCATCTTTCGCGCCAAGCTTTGATTCACGTTTCTCTAATTTAAGCCGAGAAGAAACGCAGTTGGTTATGAGAACATATGGTAAGCGAAAAAAATTATTTATAAAAAAGTAGTTCTCTTTACTAAAAAAACACTTTTCATTCTCAAAGGGGATGCTACAAGCACAGAGTATGCTGAAAGCATTTTAGAATTTACCAAGGATTCCAATTATGCATCCATGCTAGCCAATGGGCTATTAGACATGCTGACTAATGGTGAACACAGCAAAGCAATGTCCGATCTTTATGATATGCAAGTACAAAATCATGAGCAAAATGAAGTATTCAAGTGCTTTAGTGCATCCGGCGGCTTTGGTTGTCTTCAAACAATAACTCCCACAGCATCGGAAACTCGCGAGCAAATCGAGGAAGAATATGAAAAGTACAAAAATACTCGTATTGATTTCAATCGTTTACGTACACTCAAAGATCTTGGCATAGATATAGAATTTCTGGATAATATCGAAGCGGAAATGAAAAATTTCGAATTGACTCGCCGTCTGCAGGAGCATTTAAGCAACAATTTAAATTTAATAGAGAAGTTGCGCGCTACGCAACATGAGCGACTTTCACAACCATTGCCGCAGCACTTGGCTTTCGTACCGCAAGCTAGCGCCGAAGAACTGCATCTGGCGCATCAAATTAGCCAACAGCTCGGTGATGTTGCAAAGAAATTGCCGCCGTCAGCTGTGGTTGATCCCTATAGTCTGCGTAAAGCAATGGGCATGTCAAATGGTGAGTAATTTTTTTTTATGCGTTGGTGCAACTGTTTTAATTACATATATGTATTTATATTTTTTTTTTATTCCCCATTTAGTGGGTCTGCCACCGCCGCCACCACCATCTACCCAACGCGTGCCCTTGCCCGAGGTGCTTCAACAATCAGTGTCATTGCCGCCGTTACCGCTAGGATCTCAAAACTCAACACTAAATATTTCAGATGAAAATACAACAAATGTTTCTGCTGCAGCTCTGCCCATGGAAATAGATGATGAAGAGTTGCGCGAAATTTTAGAGAGCGGCAACAGCGACATGCATGCATCTACAAGCGCAGACGAAAATCCTTGGTTATAGAGAGTTAACCACAGAAAATTAATTAATTTTTATTATAATTTTATTATTTCATTATATTGCATTTATTATAACATATTCTTGTAATTAAACTTGCATTCAAAAATAAAGGCTAAACGCTTTCCCTATTATTTTAATTAATGTGTTTTCAATAGGTTTGTTCAAGATCAGGGCAACAATGAAGTGTAAACGGTTGCCATCGTTCCCACAACAGTCGAGTCTACGTAACCGGAACGACCCAGATTTACAGCAACACTCGCCACTCTATCAGTATTTAATTATAAGGAGGCTGAATTTAAAAATCTTTCCCAAATAATTTCACAGACTTTGGTGAACGTGGTAGGGTTAATAAATCTTATCGACTTTCCATTATAGCTATCGATCATTTGTTGATACGGTGATGCAATCTCTATTAAAAAGAGCACGTTTTGTTTTCACGTTTTAGTTATTGCTCGTGGTTTATATTTTAGACACAATTTAGGATTTCACGTGATTTCCACCGCACTAACTTTGCTAGGGGAGTCGTAAAGCCATTAAACTATTCACCAACATCCTCAACAAAACCTGATATGGACAAAGAGATTGAGGCTAGCCAAAGTGAGCTCATGGAAGATCCTCAAGGGAGTGGTTTTAAGGTGCTTGACCAAACTGTGTTATCGGCGCTTCTCAAAGAAGGTAATATTTCTTTATATATATTTACCCGGAAAACCATCTAACCAACGCATGATTTAGATATCAACACAGATTTGCAAAATGCACCAATAGAGGACACAGGTGCCCTGAAAGCGTGTGTAACACCGGAAGTGGCGAAGGTTGCTAAGGAAGTACTAGGAGAGGGGACTACTGATTGCGAAGTGGCAAAAACCGATTCGTGCACACTGGTAGAGTGTGTAGCACCGGAAGTGGCGAAGGTTGCTAAGGTAGTACTAGGAGAGGGGACTAATAACTGCGAAACGCCAAAAACGGACACGGGCGCACTGATAGAATGTGTAGACCCGGTAGTTGCGAATGATACTAGGGAAGTACTAGGTGAGGAGATTTATGATCGCGAAATGGCAAAAACGGACACGAGCGCACCGGAAGTGGTAAAGATTAGTAAGGATGTACTAGGAGAAGAGAATAATGATTGCGAAATTTTAAAAACGGAAACTAGCCCCCTGGTAGAGTGTATAGCACCGGAAGTGGCGAAGATTACTAAGCAAGTACTAGGTGAGGACACTAATGATTGCGAAATGCTAAAAATGGACACAAGCGCACTGATTGATTATGTAGCACCGGTAGTGGAGAAGGTTACTGAGGAAGTTTTATGTGGGGTATCTAATGAGTGCGAAATGAAAGCAGCGTCAATTATGTGCGTGCCCAGCTCAATAGAAGAAATCCAGAAAACCAACAATGCTGAAAACCATGCAAAAATTTCCAATAAAGAAGCGGTAGTAATTGAATCCGTTATTCAAATCGTTCCGGCCAGTGATGATTTAGACCACAAAACATCAACATTAGAAGTGGAAGCGATGGCTAAGCCCAGTTCCGATGCTATAGTAATAGTTGATGGAACCGATGCTGGGATGGCGCCGGACACAGATGTTATCGAAGTTATGGATATAACGCAAACAGAAAAGAGTATCATATCAAATGGAAAGCGGTTGATGCCAGCCAAAGGTATGGTATAACTGTCTTATTTATTGGGGCCAACTGTCATTTCATTTAGTTAATCATATCTTTTCAGCTACATCATCTAGCCTTGGTTTGCTCTCACAATACGGCTCCGATTCTGATGAAACGATATCGAGCGAGTCGGAAGCTGAGTCAGTAGTCGAGGTACCTGTAGCAGCTATTAACAAAACTTACCGCTCGCAGATTGTCGAAATTGAGTCCGATTCTAGCGGGACCATATCCTCGGAATCTGAATCGGAAACTGAGTCGGAATATTTAACAAAAATTGCAAAACACATCAACAAGCGTATTGAGGCCATTGATGATGAGAATAATGATGATGATGGTGATGAAGATGATTACGGGGATAACGACGGTAAAGAAACAAAAAACCGCGTTCGCCGTCAGCCGCCGCGGGTACGAGGCGAAATGTTACTTGACGATTTACCACCTATTCAGGACCTACACATATCAATGCCCGCCGAAGAGTGTATTGAATTTGGTCGGGTGCATTCCATTGTAGATCAATTGTTACTGGTAAGCGCATTGCCAAACTCGATCTTACTGGATTTGGAAACTGTACTCTTTTTAGAACAAGGAAAACGCGTGCTGGGCGTTGTGTTCGATGTGTTGGGTCAAGTAGCTGATCCACTGTATTGTGTGCGTTTTAATACAAATCAACACATACACGAGAAAGGTATAAATATTGGAGATGTGGTTTATGTAGCGCCCAAATCGGAGCATACACAATATGTAATACTTTCAAGTCTTACGAAAATGCGTGGGTCTGATGCATCATGGGAGAACGATACAGAACCGCCACCGCGGTATATAGATTACTCAGATGATGAGGAGGAGCGTGAAGCACGCCATAAATTACGCAAACATCGGAGGCAGAGTATTAAGGAGGAGGATGAAGAAGACAAAGACGATGATGCTGATGCTGATGCTGATGATAAGGATAAAGATCCGATGAAACGAAGTTGGTTAAGCACAGCTTTTGAGGGAAATAAACAAAGGCGGGAACGGCCCAGCGGTAGTAGGCGAAACGATCTATCTGGAAATTATCAAAAGAGGCAAGAACGTTTTGGATCACAATCGCCGTATACACCGCGCAGCTATCATCAACAAAATACCAGCAGCTGGCACTCGCATTACAATCAACAATATCACCCCAGACCGCCACCCACACATGTCTACCGTTCCCCATACACTGCTCCATATCAGTACCAACGACCTCAGTACCACACACCACCACCTCGCTTTAATCCATATGTACATCCGCCAGCGCCAATGTCAATGCAAATGCCAACAGCGCAGGGACAGTTGGCACCGCCCATGGAGCACCCACCACCGCAAATGACACCACCGACTCAGATGCATTCAATGCCGCCGCCAACACACATGACGTCACCACCTTCGATGCATTCAATGCCTCCGCCAACACACATGACGCCACCAACTTCGATGTATTCAATGCCACCGCCGCATATGCCTCCACCATCCACAGCTATATATGTGCCAAGTCCTTATGCTTTTCGACCATCAACAGTATCGCCTCAAATACAAATGCAACAGCCACAAATGCAACAGCAACAACAACAACAACAGATTCAGCCGCAAGGTTCGATGCAAATCACAAGCACGGCAGAACCATCGCCACCAGGTGCGGATTGAGAATGAGTTAGCTGAGAAGTTTTAATTATTTAGTACCTTTAAATAAAGTTACGTGTATAGATTGAATATTACTCACTGTTGCGTAAATAAATATTTTTAACTTTGAGGTTTCATTGTAAATGGTATTTTAAAGAAAATTATGCGCATGAATTTCGAGTTGGTCTAAAGACAGCACTACGCCGAAACCGGTTTGTCTGCAAACCAAACTTGACAAGGGATGACGGAAATTCGTTCCAAAATAAATCATCTTACCACCCTGTCGGTAAAATCAACCACCACCAACACACAGCATTTTTTCGTTATATTGCTTTACTTTAATTTTAATCTTATACAACTGTGGTAAAAATATTAAAATTTTTTACTATACATTTGTGTAGGTACATAATTGAAGTGGGCAAAACTGGATACTTTTGTGGTGTTAGGTGTATTACATATTTACTTTGATTTAACATACAAACATTTTTCTACGAGTACTACGTATGTAAAGCCTTAATATTAATTTGATCAACATAAATCTGCTTTGAACAACAATTAGCCATTATAATGTAAATGTGTAACAAATAGAAATTTTAACGCACTTGCGTTTTTCATATATGTACATAGTGCATTTGTATTCAGAAATGTGTATGTATGTATGATTACCATAAACAAAAAAATAAAATAAAAAGTTACATCCATTTAAAATTTCGCGTAAAGTTGATAAGCTACAAACTAAATTCGATTTGCTTAGATTTAAAAGTGTTTAAATTTTTATATATGTAGGTATTTATTTTTCTAATCTTGCGCTAGCGTTAAAATTACATTGTAATATGTTTACTTGTGTAAATATAAACCTGTGTTTATAAAAATTTGAA